TTGCTCTGCCACTCTGGTTGTGACTGGGGCAAGACCTAAAACCTTTTCGACGACAGCCAGTTTCCGCTTTGGTAGAAGGAGATAAGAGCTGTGTGTGGAGTATGGTGGTGAGCAGAGAGGAACACGTACTGTCTACCCAAGGGAGTCAGCAGCAGGATCTGTCCATGTAGGGCAGGAGACTTGGGAGAGCTTTGGATGCTAGTGGTTGTAGCAGCGAGACCCTCTTGAGTATCTCACTCGTGTTTCTTCAGTCTGACTTACAGCAGGCCTGGCACAGAGGCGTTGATGTCCCCATTTTACAGATGAGCATGCTGAAGCTCAGTGTTGACCTAACCTTGTGTTCACTGAACACTGACTCCATGCTAGGTGTGGTGGAGATGCAACAGTCAACAAGACAGACCCATATCCTGGGGCTAGAGAAATAGTACAGTAGGTAGGGCCCTTGCCTCGCACTGGGGTTCAATCCCCAGTGTCCCATATGGTTCTCCAAGCCCACCGGCAGTGAATTCTGATTGCAGAGCCAGGAGTAACCCCTGAGCTCCCCTGGATGTGACTCCTCAAAAAAGACCCACGTCTCTCTGCCTCTGGGTTCACATTCCACATGGTGTCCCTTGCCCAGGTGAGGCTCTGATGGGCCAGGGTTGAGCTCCAGATCCAGGTCTGGCCCTTCTGGGCTTGTGCTTTCCTGCCTCACTCCTGAACTCAGGGCCCCTCAAGCCCCCTCCCCCCTCCTGGGGAAACGCCTCTCCCCAGGGATGGTGAGGTGCCTGGAGAGCCCTGCCTCCATTATGAAAGGCCCAGCGCCTGGTTTTCCCCAGGAATGATGGAGGAAGTAGTTTCCCCAGGGGGGAATTTGGGAGGACCAGTGCCCTCTGGGCCCTCTTCCTGCTGTGGCGGGGAATCCCTCTGGATTTCTCTGGGTTCAGGGGAAAGGCCTGTCCTTTTCCCGCTCCTCAGGCACACAAAGGAGGCGGATCCAGGGCTGGTCTGTGAGAGGCTTAGGTCAGTGTCTGGCGTGTGGTGAACTCCAGCTCCTGGGATTCATTTACACAGCTCCATCCTGCCCCCCACCCCCGCCTGCCTTCGGCCACCTGAGATGCGGACATTCCCACAGCACAGTGCAGTGTCAAGTCTCTTTTTTTATGATTCAGGGACACCTCCCGAGCAGTGCTCAGAGAGCCCCAGGGCTGCTCCTGGTGATCCCTGGCCAAGGGCTGGGTAGTTCAATGCTCAGGTCCAGCAGTGCAGTGCTGCCCAGCCCCCCCCCCCCACCCCTCCCGTGCTGGGGCCTCTAGGGCCACACTTGGCAACAGGTAGGGTGGAGCATGAGAATTGAGACCCAAACTCGGTGCCTCCCACATGCCAGGCATGCACTCTAGCCCTTCGAGCTGTCTCCTGGGCCCTTGACAAGTCTCTTGAAACCTAAAGAAGCAATCAGAGGTTTCTAAACCACCCCACTAAGAAAAACTATGAGGGCTGGAGAGAAGGTCCAGGAGATAAGGCACTTGCATGTAGCTAATCCGTTTGGTCCCCAGTACCATATATGATTGTTCAAGCACCAACAGGAATGTCCCCTGAATACAGAGCCAGACATAGCCCCTGAACCCTGCCAGGTATGGCTCAAACGCTCTCCACCCCAACCCCTATCACCACAGAGAAGAAAAAAATCAAAACTATAAAATGGTTCTTTATTGCTCATGGTAGCTGTGACTCTAAATCCAAAATGACCAGTGTCACTGTATCACTGTATCACTGTCATCCCACTGATCATTGATTTGCTGGAGTGGGCGCCAGTAACGTCTCCGCCCATCCCAGTCCTGAGATTTTAGTAGCCTCCCCTTACTCGTCCAATGTCAGGGAACTAAATAAAATATGGTGAAGTATGTGTATTGGAATACCATATAGCCATTAAAAACCACCCTGTGGGTCGTAAACTCTAAACAATAATTGTGCATCTTCTATCGAAATAATCTATCTAGTCAAAGTAGATAGAGTATTAACTAGAACTCATCTGCCTCACAAGAATTGGGAGGGGTGGGAGGTGGGGGTCTATTGGGGTTCGGGGTTAAAAATGAGTATTGGTAAAGGGAAATATGTTTGGTATCTACATGACTGAGACCTAAACCCGAAAGCTCTGTAACTTTTCCCACAGTGATCCAATAAATAAATAAATTATATAAAAAAAAAAAACCACCCTGGAGGGACCAGAGCAATAGTACAGCAGTTAAGATGTTTGCCTTGCACATGGCTGACCAGGATTCAATCCCCAGCATCCCATATGGTCCCCCATGCTCTTCCAGGAGTGATTCCTGGTCGCAGAGCCAGGAGTAAGCCCTGAGCACCACTAGGTCTGGCCAAGAAACCAAACCCCAAAAAAAAATCGTCCGGGAGAGGAGAATGCAACATGAGAAGAGTACTAACAATTCATGAGCGAAGCAGAATGTACACACACAAAAGAACACCTAACATGACCGCATTTACCACACATGCTGCAGCCCTGTTGAACACGTGCTGACATAGAACGTGCCCATGTTGCTTGGTGATGTGTGAATTGTTACTTCTGGGCAGTAGAGTTGTGAGGGACTTTTGTTCTCCTCTGTTTTTAATATTTTCGCATTTCTTCAGAGAAAGGGGCATGTCCTTTGTAATCACGGAGGAAAACTCCCCCCCATACATACACACTCCCATATAAGTGAAGGGGGTAGTGGGGGTGTCTCTTTCCAGCCCTGTGCAAAGGCAGCCAAGGCCCCACCAGCCTTAGGAGATGCAGGACCCAGAGAAGGGGGCTGGGTGAGCCGGGCAGATGGATGGGTTGTCAGCCTCTGGGTCTCAGCCTCAAGAGCTGCCTAGCCACAGGGCCAGGCTGAGGCCAGTCCTCCCACACTTTCCCTTCTGACCCTTTCACCATCCTCATTACGTGCCTTGGCTTCCCAGGGGGCCTGCTACTTTGTGGATCCCTTGGTGATTATGGGTCACCTCTAGAAGGCAAACCCCACACGAGCAGGCCACATGCTCGTCTCACTGTCCCGGACATATCCTTTAGGAGATGGGCCCCAGGGAGATCTTGGTTTATGAGGACTGAAGGCCCTGCTGGGCATCTCCATGTGACACGAGAGAATGGGAGGATCTTCCTGGGAGTCTGGAAACAGCAGAGAGCTTCCCGCTGCTGGCACAGGATGAGGTTCAGCAACCCGGAGAACCCAGTCAGGCAGTGGCCACTCAGGGGGTTCTGAAGGGGTCAGCCTCGTGCTTCACATTTCTTAACCAAATCAACTGAAGGTAGAACTGACATCCCTTCCAGTGCTTTCTCCCTCCCTGCACTCTGGTCCGTATCTCCCCAGCCTCCTCCCAAGCAGCTCAGATTCTCAGCAGAACTGTTCCACTAAGCCTGCCCTGGAACCAGATCCCCAGTGATTCCAAATGCTGGGTCCAGCTGTTGATTCTTTGTCCTCCTATGACTTCGCCCATCTCAGAAATTGTCTGTCCTTCTAAAAACCATTTTTTTTCTGGTTTTCCCTCTCACTATCTCGGCAATTCCTTTTCCCTCCTTGTTGCTGGGTGATTGGTGGGGCTCAGCTCTTACAGCTTCTCTGATGATAATTAGCCTCTCACTGGCATCATCCCATGTCACGACTCTAAAGAGCCACTCAGGAAGCACCTGCAGGTCTTTATTTAGAGCCCCGACCTCTCCCCTAGCTCAGCTACCCACCTGCCTCCCTACAGGCCTTTCTTGGAGTGCCTAAAAGAAGCATCTCATACCTCACGTGCCCAAAACTTGAGCATCTTCTCTTCCCCCCACGATGCTCCATCAGCTACCTTTTGTACCTCAGCTGGTTCCCGCCTCCTTTCAGACTGAGATATGCTCTGGCACCAAATCTGGCCAGAGTTCCCCCTGCGTCCTGGATTCCACAGTGCACCTCCACTCCATCAGCAAGTCCTGTTCTGCTCTCTAGAGCGTGACCTTCTCTCTGTATGTCTATGCTGGCCCTTGAGTCCAAGTCACTGTGGTCCCTTGCCAGGACCAGGCTATCTAAAACAGCCTCCTGACTGACTCTGCCTGTGTTCCCCAGTTTATTCTCAGCCCAACATTTCACTGCTGTGCTGAAGCTCTCCAGTGGCTGCCACCAAAGTGAAAGCGCTAGTGCACACCAGGGCTTCCTTTAACACCTTGCGTGTGCTGGAGCACCGCCCTGTGCCCCGCCGCCAACCTGCCTGATGCCATCTCCCACTTCCCCTTCATTCCCTGTGGTCTGGCGACGACAAGCCGCCTGCTGATACTCACCACACCAGGCAGGCTCTGGGCCTTTGAATATGCTGTTCTGTCCACCTAGAACACCACTTCCCCACCAATTCTCAGTGCTCACTTCCTCATTTCTTTCAGATCATTGTTCATAACTCACCTCTCACATGTCTGGGCTTCCCTGGTCTCATTGTTTAGGTGGTTTTTGTTTTTAGTGCTAGGGGTCAAACCGAGAACCTCACACATGCAAGGTAGGAGCACTGTGCCACTGAGTCACATCTTGGCCCAAGAATTCTGATGCTACTTCCCACTTCCTGCCCCACTACTCACCACCCCTGCCACCGCCTTCACTTTCTTTCTCCTTGAGCATATTCACCTCTTCTGGTGACTATATATATTTTTTTACCTATTTAGTTCATTGTTTGTTGATCTCCCCCAGCAGACAGGTGGTGTGTGTGTTTTGTCTAGTGCCTTATCTCCAGACATCAAGGAAATGCCTGAGATGTAGCGGGTGCTCAATCAGTATCTGGTGGTGGGGACAGTGAGCTCGGAATGTCCCCAGTGTTGGTATGAGAAAGATGCCCCCCACCAGGGGGACCATCACTCACGCTGTGTGCGGCCCAGTCCACCCCAGGGGCTCCTGGGGCACTCCACGGAGGAGCATGCATCTTCCAACTGCCTTCCAGCCTGGTTTTGCCCACATGCCTGCCCTGGTTGCTCTGCCTTGATCACTGATCTGCTTCCCTCTGGTCTCCTCCAGGTCCTGAATTCACAGCCTTCGAAGGAAGAGAGAACGATGAGAAGGTAAGAGAATGATGAGACTAAATCTCCTCTGCACCCTCCCAGCTGAAAAGCCCTCAGAAAGTATTGGCAAAGGGCTGCCCAGAACGGTGCAAACGTTTGCATTTAGATGGAGAGGAGATCCATGGGACTTATGTTGACTTTCGGGGTACAGTGTAAGCACGAGGGGGGACAGGACAATTCAGTCTTCAGTGCTTCCCGGAGGAAAACATGGCAACCTGTTTCCAGCCTCCTCCTGGGAGCTTCTGCCAATGCCAGCTTCAGTGCAGGCCTGTCAGGGAGCACAGAGTAAGAAATGTCCGGTTTAACGGAATATTCTAGGATATTCACTGCACAGGAATTCTCTGCTCCTGTTGAATCACAGTCCAGATTTTACCAGGAAAAGTGCCAGTAAATACCAGGAGTGGAGGACCGTGCCCTGATGGGCACAACTAATGGCATTGGAAAAGGGGGGCAGCTTTTCAAAAACCGTGGCCAGCCTTTGACCCAGCCATTCTACTTTCTGGAATTGGTCCTAGGAAAATAATTCCATTTGTGCAAAAGTTATTTATAACTGCATTGTGTATACTAGAGAACAGGGAAATGTTGAAAAGGCCAGCAAAATGAAATTGGTCATTGAAAATCTGGCAGTCTGCAAGCGGGTATATCATGAATGACCAAGATATATATTCATTGCCAAGAATGATGCTTGTAAATATTGTTCAATGAAAAACGATTAAAAGGTGGTGGGGTTGGATAGAAAGTGCTTCTGAGCTCTGCGCTGTTTCCCTGTGAGGCATCCTTCCTGTGATCTAAACACAAACAGTGCCCTCGCAGGCTCAGGCTGAGCAAGATTTGCTGGGATAAATGCAACTAAGGGCCTCAGGCCCAGCTGCAGCGAGCTGGGTGAACAGCACACGGACCCCCAGGTGGGCCATGTGCAAGACCATCTCCACCTGTGTAGAAGCTGGGAGCGTCTGAGACAGTGGTGTTATTTGAGCTAGTCAAATCATAATTTTCAATATTTTCTTAATTTTCTACAAGAGATACACATTACTTATATTGTGATATCATTTTTTAAAGAAAGATACAGTTGAAAAGGCTAAAAAGGAAACTATAGTTAGTGCCTTTGGCAGAACTCTGGAGAGCCGGGTTGAAGGCAGAGAGGACAGGCGTGCCAGGGCTTGTGTAGGGCACACGGAGAACCTAAAGAGACGCCCCTTGGAGACTCCTGGCAGACCCGCTTCCCACTCAGTCCCTCTTGTAGGAACCACTGGCAGGAGATAGGGGGACTCAGAGTCCATAAAATGAGTGTGCAGCCCCCTTGGACAGCCAAGACAGTCTGACTCCAGCAGGTCTTGAACCCCGGGAACAGCCTAGTTGCTCCAGCCCTCACCCCAGCCAGTGTTGTGTTCCATCTTCAGTAGGAATGGCAGTGAGCCCCGATGGGTTCCCAGAAGTCTTCCCCAGAGGATTAGTCCCTTCCTTCTTGGAAGCCTGATTCAGGAGCAGGGGCTCCCAGGCAGAGCCAGGCTGCTGGGAAAGAAAGCCAGTGTGGGCCCACTCCCACCCCCCCACACACACACACCTCACCAGAGCCGGGGACCTTGGGACAAATCCTCCATATCAGGGAGGTTTGTGCCAGTCCCGGCCATGGGGCCTGGGGCATAACTCTTGCCCCAAGAGTTATGAATTTCATCTGGGGGAACATCACTGTCCTCCCGTTGTTCATCGATTTGCTCGAGCGGGCCCAGTAACGTCTCCATTGGAGACTTTGTTGTTACTGTGTTTGGCATATCGAATACGTCACGGGGAGCTTGCCAGGCTCTGCTGTGCGGGCGAGATACTCTCGGTAGCTTGCCAGTCTCTGGGCTCTCCAAGAGGGGCGGAGGAATCGAACTCAGGTCGGCCATGTTGGCTGCGTGCAAGGCAAACGCCCTACCGCTGTGCTATCACTCCAACCCTTGGTGCTGGAGCGATATCACAGCTAGGAGGGCGTTTGCCTTGCACGTGGCCAACTCAGGTTCGATTCCCAGCATCCCATAGTTATGAATTTAACTCAACATATTGAATTTTCCAGATAATTATATGTAACCCTGTGGCCTTGCATACTGTTTTTATTATGCTCACTTTAATTAGGTTGTACTTTATCAATGTTCTCATAACACTGTGTACATAAGGTTTAGATATCAATAGTACTCCTGCCTGTCCCAGCCCCATTCCCTCAAGGCAGCTTTTTATACCTCTCTATAGTGTCTTTTCCTGCTTGTGTTGTTATTTCTTGATTTACCAGGTTAGATATCTTTTAGCTTCTGGTGGCAGGGAAGAACAAATATTTGGGGCTGGAGAGATAATACAGGGGATAGGGCATTTGCCTTGCACACAGCTGATCAGAGTTTAATCGCCAGCATCTCATATGGTCCCCTGAGCACTTCCAGGAGTGATCCCTTCACCAAGTATGACCCAGAAACACCGTTCCTGCCACTTCTCAACCAAAAAAAAAAAAAAATTGAATGTTCCTACAAAACCACCTCCTCTCCTCCCCTCATCTTGCCAGTCACAGTAGAATGTGATTTAGAGTTCCCCGATAGCGAAGAGAAACCTTTCTTGGCACAGAGCTAAGTAGTATCTTGTGTCCTGTGCTTTGGGGGGAAATGATGCTATTCCTTTGATCTTATCTTCTTATCTGTTGGGCCTACTGGATTGATAAAGTGCTTTTTTTTTTATTTTCTCTCTTTTCCTCATCTCTTTGCTTCTTTGACTTTTTTTAAAAAAAACTTCCCCTGATTATATCCTCCAAGCCTTCTGTTTTTTATTATTATTATTTAAATTTTTTCTTTCTTATTTGTCATTTCCAAGAACTCTTTCTTATCTTCTGGTTTTCATTTTCCATAACAACACATTCTTGGGGCTGGAACGATAGCACAGTGGGTAGGTCGGTTGCCTTGCACTCTGCCGACCTGGGTTCAATCCCCAGCATCCCAAGCACTGCCAGGAGTGATTTCTGAGTGCATGAGCCAGGAGTAACCCCTGTGCATCACCAGGTGTGACCCAAAAAGAAAAAAAAAACTAACACATTCTTATCTGTGGTGATGCTAATCCCCCCCTCCTCTCTCTATATCTCTCTGTCTCTCTCTCCCTCTCTCTTTCTCACCCTCTCTCTGAAGGTACTATTTTTTTTATTCATATTGGTTTTGTTTTAATATTCTTCTAGTCTCTGTGTTGTCTTTGTTTCCATGTGACTTTATTTGTTTTCTCTTTCATGTTGGAAGCTTTCCTTGAGTATCAACTGTCTTGGTTGTCTGTTGGTATTTATGAGTGAAGCAGTAAAATGCAGAATGAAACTGCTGGGGAGAACTTATCAGCTGGGGCCTCACTCAGGCCTCTGACTGTTGGACTCCACTGTTCTCAACCTTGGTACTACTGACACGCTGGGCCAGAGAACCCCTTGTTATCAGAAGCTCTTGTGCGTTGTAAAATGTTTAGCAGCATCACTGAACTCTGCCCAGCAGATGCTAGTCTCTGCCCCCTCCCAAAGTGGCAATAATAAAAAAATGTCCATAAACATTGCTAAATGACCACTGGGGGTGGTCAGTTTGCCCCACTGAGAATTGCTGTTCCAGAGTCATTTGACTTTTCAAGAGAAGCATTCACCTTCTCATTTGAGTTGTCTATTCCCCATGGAAACCACTCCCAAACTTACTAGCATAAGCAACAATCATCTTATTATTCTGCCAGTCAGAAATTTGGGAAAGGCACAGATCTCCTGCGCTCCACAGAGCCTGGGATGTAGGCCAGGGGCCTGGAATGACAGAAGGTGGCCCGAATGGTCGGGGATCGGGATGGCTGGGTTTGGAGGCCCCATTCAAGACAGTTGTTCTGTGACTGACAGTGAAGCTGGCCACGCTGGTCTCAGCTGGAACTGGTGCCTAGAGAGACCACATGTGTCCTCACGGGCACACTGATCAGTAGTTGACCTCTTTAGTGGTGACCATCGAATGCCACTTAATCCCTTCCACTGTGTTAGAAACTGACCCACATCCAGGGAAGATGAGAGACTCTTTCAAGGGGGAGATGTGTCAAAGAATTTGCAGCTATTTTTCAAGTTCCAGACTCGTCACACCCTGGCAAGGGGACTGGCATGTGCCTGGGGTGAGGTCTGTAGGAAGGAAATATCGCATCCACCTCATCAGTCTCCCAGGTTTTGTTTGATGTGTACATGGGAATGGAGAACACTTGCTGGCCCCCCACTTCCTGATATATGCCAATGAGACTCTCCATAAGAATACAGGTGAGGGGTGGCCTGCAGCCTGAGGTCGCAGCCCCAGGGCCTGGCCCTCCACTGGCTCACCCCAGCTGAGCTCTGGCCCCTCAGTCCCCCCACCCCCCCAGGCTGAAGGAAAAGGCCTGAGGGTACGCATTGCTCCATTGCTCCTTCTCTGGAGTGGAGAGTAGCTGTTCAGGGGAAGGAGACACTCTCACACCCCCAGTTCCCTTGCTCTTGCTTCTTTTACCTCCTAGGGTTTGTTTTGTTTGTTTGGGGGAGGGAAGAGCAGGCTGTTAGCTGAAAGGGTTTGTTTTCTTACAGCCCCCCTAGAGTGTTGTGGTGTAGTCCCAAGGCCTTGTCCTCTCCAGCCCACAGCCTAGCTTCTCTCGGCCCTTTCCTGTTCACTGTTGCTCTGTAGGCTCAACCTGAGACAGCCAAGCAGCTACGAAAACAGCACTCAGGGGGCTTGAAACTTGATGGGGGAGAGGGGCTGCAGGGCTGGGGAAGGCTTCTGAGGCTGCTCTGCATAGCGGAAACTCCCCTGTGCATGCACCCGGGGTGGGGGGCTCCAGGTGGGCAGAGCCCCCTGTGGAAGCTGGTCCTCCTCTCTGGTCCTGACCAGACTGGTGGCAGGGAGGCTACTGAGGGAAAAGGAGGGTCACTTGGCTGCTTGGGCCTTGTGCCACACAGTCCTCGGCCACTGTCACTGTCTCTGTCCTCCCGTTGTTCATCGATTTTCTCGAGCGGGCCCAGTAAC